GTACCTCAAAAGGCTCTAAAAAGTATTTATTTTCATCTTACACGTAAAATATAAGTTTAAAACTTATATTTTATGATGCTTCGATTTTTGCACAAGTAACTTTAAATAACATAAAAATCAGGAAAATCGTAGAGATCTTCACTCACACAGACATACAGACACATGCACAGGCACCAGTACAAGAGTTTTCATAACAATGATTAAAATTAGCATCTTTGCCACTCGGCTTCCACTGCTCTATGGCAGAAGAAGCAGAAAACACAATCAGCTAATGGCCCTCTCCTCGAGTGCAGCACTATTTATTTGGGGACAGTTGTAAGGGTTCTTACCTCCAGCTGTCCTCCCTGTATTCTGCTGGAATCCCCACCAGGCCACTGCAGGGAGAGCTCAGCTGCTCCAGAGCAGCTGCTGAAAGGCTACTGCTCTTGGCTAAAGAGAAACAGGTTTGTTTTCCTTAACACACGGGGCTGTGAGCCTGCTGCATTTCAGCAGCACCCAGGTCAGTGAGATAAAAGGAGACTAAACCTCCACAGAGGTAAGGTGGTTGTGAGCCTCCATCCCAGGAAACAATCCTCACATGCAAAAGTAAGGCTCAGCTTGGAAGTGCACTCATTCAATGTTTTCACTAGCAGAATTTAAATGTAACTTGATTGTTTCAGAGAGTACTGGGGGTTTTATTTATTTATTTCGAAAAGTAAGTTGTGAAAAGGAATTTGGGTGGTCATGAGCTGCGTATGGTTTTACAAAAAGTCTTATTAAAGGCCAGAGCAACAATTTCCACCAAAACCTCTGTCACACCACTATCAGCTGAAACAGCCTGCCCAGTCATACTAAATACAGCTGACTAGTTTAAGACTGAATCTCTGTATTCTCTCAACCAATAATATTACATGTACCGACTCCACTATTCTCTAAATGTCAAATGAGTTCATATTTTATTAATGCCAACTCTTTCCCCTCCCCCTAAATATCACACACCCTATATAAAACAAAAGTTGAGACTGCTACAAATCAAATGCACGATTTCCCACTAATCTCAGGGGGAGTTTATAAAGCACATGAAAAGCAGGACCGTTTCCCAAAGAAAAAAAAAAAAAGCAAGATCCTATTTTTGCAGGTTAGTAGTCTAATAAGATCTCTGGGTTTTAACAATGTAAGGCTTTGTCACAGTTGAAAGTTTTTCTTCTATGATCACACAGCTCTGCTTTTATTTTACTATTATTATTATATATACACACACTCATACCTTTAAATATTTTATTCAACCATATATATATATACCTTTAAATACTTTATTCAACCATATATATATATATTTCTACTAATATAAAACTCTGCTTATGCTCTTTGTTTTAAAATGAGAATATTCACATGGGGGTTTACTCCAGTACAGAAAAGGCAATAAAATTATATGGTTACAGATTGCTCAAGGTATCTCTCGGTATGAATAAACTTATTTAGAAGACTTGTGCTCTGGCACAGAAACCTCTATCTTTCTTACTCCCCTACTACTGAATTTAAACCACAGGAGTTTTAACATGTACATACTCCCAAAACCAAGCCACCAAGTCATGCTGGTGAGACCAGAAGATAATGAACTCCTCTAAAAGGCTCAGCCTGCAGCAGCTTGGGCTACAGCTATTTTATCTTCACAAAACTCCCCCATCCTCACCAGATTACACAAAGTTTATTTCACTCTTCCTTTTTTTTTTTTTCCCCTGCAAGTAAATGGGGTGTTGTACCTAAATCGGGAGGTTTTTCTCTATGGCTAAAGCCTAAGTAAGCAGTTTTACATTTGGATTTGTCCCCAGGCTGCATTCTACTGCTGCTCACTGGTATTGGTACCACTGATCCCAGCCTCATATAGAACACCTCAGAACTCTAAATGGCTTAAAACCCGTTTAAAAAAAAAAACAAACAAAAAACAACAAAACACCCCCCAAAAAATAAACCAAATGTAAAAACAAACAAACAAACCCCAAAACAAACAAAAACTTCTCATACGTGGCAGCACCACACCAGAGGAGCAAAAAGCATTTGCCTCTAAGTCACAACTCTTGGCAAAAAAATACAAAGTATGAAAACTTTCAGAAAAATAATAATCAATATGAAGCAAAGGGGAGCATATTATAATTGTCATTTATTATTTTGCAGCTGTCCTTGAAAGCAGGGAACTAAGGTGATGCATTTAATTAAAACTAACAGAAAGTAAACATGACTTATACAAAACATTCAAATACAAACACTTTATGACATCTTCAGAAAGTAAGTGAAACCTGTAGGTGGGAGCATTGCTTAAGATGACAAAATAATATTTCAAATTGTATCCCTTTATGCAAAATAATTGTAAAATTTGCCTTTGGAATACCTGTTCAAATGTTCATTGGTAGAGAAATGAAATAAGGAGAATGGACAAACTGATTCAAAAGTTATACCACCAGAGCTTAAGTAAGTGACAAAATTGCTGTCCCAGCCAGCCCAAGCAAAGGGAGCTGTAACAAATCCTGTGTTGTTTACCTGGCTGTACATTTAAACAGATTCACTAAGAAGTGCTGGTGGAAATACACAAATAAAGAAAAGAGAACTGTATCCCGGCTGACACTGTCACATGAAAGGCACAAAATGAAGGTGGGAGAAAAAGCACAGGATGTGTCCCACGAACAGGTAGACTGATGCCTGGAGTGCCTTACCCACCAGGTTTGTGCTGGGGATATTCCATGGACTCCCCTCTACTCTGTGTGAAACGAGAGCTGAGCCCAAAGGATACCAGAACCAGAAATGGCTCAGTATGTGCCATGAACCCAGTTCTCACCTTTGCACATGGAGATGCATATCCATAAAGAAATCAGTCCTAAAAAAATTCCCTTAGCAAAGAACACTGTCCTTAAGCTGCACCCAGCTCCTGATTTATGGTATGCAGCAGGGCCCTGCAGCAATATATTGCCCTGCTATTCACATACCTGTCACAACACTCAGTTCCCATGTTGCTTTACTCATTTCTCATCATCCCATGATTTTTAAAATAAATTTTTCACTAGAGAATAAAGCTTCCTCAAACTCCCTCTTAGAAAAGAAAAAAAAAAAAACAACAACCAAACGCATGCATTACTTTAAAAGACAGCAACGATAAAAAAAAGCAGACTGTAAAACCAAATCAAATCAATCCCAGTGGCTGCAGCAACGTGGCACTAACAGAGATACAACAGGATAAACAGATCATGGTTTCTTTGTTAATACTGCTTTTACCAATTTTCTGTTCAGGTTTCTCACTTGATGACATCCTCTTTCAAAAATACACACAGTGTTTCCACTACAAAATGCTGAGAAGACAAATAAAGACCCTGTCTGAAGCTACCACAGAACCCAGGCTCTCCTCCCCAGAAATAATTCAGCTGTTGTTACCATCACACAAACCCTCAGCCATAGTCGTCTTCACTTCCATGCTTTCCTCTACCCTCCTGGTAGGACCCTGTCTTTTTTTTTTCCCCTCAATAGGTTTCCTAAAAATCCATCATTTATTATCCAGACCTACACCTGAATCCAGACTCGCCTCCTGCACTATGACATTGCTCTCTCTGCTTCCACTGTGAAACTGAGACTAATTAATTTCCAATTTTTCTAAATTTTGATCTCCCTTTAGTTTGCCACACCCTCCCCTGAAATCAAATTACTGATTTTAAGAAAGTTGCAGTATTCAAGTTAAAAATCATTTAAAATCCTGTCACTTAAAATACTGTCACTGTACTGAACTTTGTAGTTTCAGTATTTATTTCAATTACAGTTTTTCCAGACAAGAAAAGTACCTTTCAAGATATCCATCGAATCAATATCATTTAAGAGATACACTATCTATTAGAGGTGTGGTTGTCTAAACGTTTTCAATCAAATGTAATTAATGAAAACTTTTTTCACCTTGAAAAGTCAGCCACATGCAGGACAGACACCCTTCAGCATCCTTCCCAAAGTTGCCTTTAGGAACATTGTAACCACGTGAAATCCTATTAGAAGGTGCTGAACTCCTACATTGTGACTCTTCCGGCAGCCTTCTACATAACAAAAATGCAATGAAGTACCATACAACTTTCCCCCCCTTATTATGCTAAATCCTTATCAAATTCAATAGTGTGACATCGTTCAAAATCCTGCCTAACAATGGCTCGCAGGAGGTCAAGAGATGTCGGCTTTGTTTTAGTTTCACGTGCTTTTCAGTCTATTAATGCTAAAAGAAAAAGAACCTTCACAGAAATAACCGATAAAGATCAAACCCAACTAAACAATGGGAAGGAAATTCGGAGTTAAAACTGGTACTTAGCTCTTTGCTAAGCAAGCAGCCCATTGTGCCAAAGGTGCTGGGCGGCACAAGGATCCCGGGTCACACAATACCCAGGAATAACAAGGTGAGGGAAGGAGCTTTCAGCTCTCCACTTCCCGTGCTCTTGTTGGTTCGGGCCAGAGCTGTTGTTTTAAGAGAGTATTTGTATTTCTTGGGAGGAACTACTGGGCAGACCCCGACTCCTTTGTGCGGCAGGTTGCCGGTGGAATGGAATGTGTCATTCGGCACACGTTCCACTCGCAACCAGGAGGACAAAGGATTCACTGATCAGGGGGGACAATTAGTCCCAATTAGGCCTATTTCGCAGCTGAGTGTAAGGGCTGGGGGAAGGGAGCTTAATTTTTAAAGCAATGGGTCCCTCAGGCGAGTTAAAAGAAAGATCAGTAGAGTGACAAGCTTGAGAACATTCGCCCCACCAGTCGGCACAGGGGAGTTCCACAGAGGGGATGGCAGCGAGCCTCGGGCAGTCACCTCCAGGAGAGGATGGAGGAGGGCTTCTCAAACCTCAGACAGCCAGGTAAGAAATCTGACAACCATTTAGCCTCTTGGCTCATGTGACTAACCAAATTTCCCAGTTTTCAACCCACTCCTTCAGCAGCGGTTCTCCGTCTCAGGCACAGGCAGACACACGCTCAGACACACGGGCAGGAAGGTCGGGAATACTCACATATGCACATGTGGAGGCTGGAACCTGCTCTGGTTGATGTTGTAGTGTGTAAACGCCTGCGTTGGGTTGGAGCTGTATTCATCCACTGTTATGGTAACTTTGCCTTGTGAAGGAATTCCATGAGCCATCCTTCCTCCTTATGGACATGAGCAGCTCACAACTTCCCAAGGCCAGGAGCAGGGTAGGGCATTGTGGTCCAGGCAGCTCCCGATTCCCAGCAGCTCCTCATCAACTCCGTGACCTCTGCCAGGAGAGAAAGACAGCACACACTGCTATAAACTATGAGGAGATGTAAACATACAGACAGATTACTCTTATCCTCTCCTGATTTCTATTCAGACACCTTTTCCTATATTTTTTACGTAACCCTCACCCCACTCTCTAAGCATTACTATTCACTTTTTTGTTTGTTTTTTTATCTTGGGGCGGGGGGGGAATAAAACATATGAGTTTAAAGCTTCTGTTAAATACTCCACATTTCATATTCTTTATTTGAAATAATATCTTGTGCTAACTGCAACCACGAAAACTAACAAGTGGACCCAGTTTGCTGAAAGATAAACGACTTTCCACAAACATACACACTTGTTTTCTAGGCCCTATTGCAGCTTTACCACGTGAATGACAATCTAGAGACTTATAAGAAACTGATGTAAAGAACATTTTAAAATTGCATAGCTGAAGTTACACCCAAATGCCTTTAAATCAAAGCATTTATTTGTCTAGAGAAAGGCGATTATCCAGACAACGTTTGCAAAACATTCATGTTATAGTGCACTAGCAATGAAACTGGTTTGGATTCACCACCAGACAGTAATGATTTATCTGACAGATTTAAGTGCGATTTTATGCACAAATATTTCTGAATAAGATGAAAGAAATAGGCTCTTCCCTCCGTATGCATCTCTATCTTTCACTTCTTCAAAGTGCTCTTAAACGTATTTTGCGTCAAGACTGGATGTCCACTGTAATATAAGCAAAACCCAAATAGCCAGAAACCTCCCAAACCTGCTCTGCTGAGCTTCTTGCACAAAACCTGAGCTTCGATTTCTGCCGTCAATAAACTGAGGATCCCTCAGCTGCCTTCCTTTCAGAGGGACTCTGTGAAAATTGATCAGCTGATGTTCGAGGAACACTTTCAAGATGAGCAACTCTTTAAGAGCCCTGCTCACGAGGCAGATGCTCAGCTGGGACACACCATCCCAGCAAGGACTGACATGAAATCATGACACCTGGCATCAGCTGATATCCCTCCCTTTAGCTGCCACACGCAGTAGTGTTTTTTCCATGTCTGCTGTGTAATTCACAAAAGTAAATCAGTGCTTACTGGGAGGAACAAAGAGATGGGAAAGAGAAGAGAGTGATTTGAGCCCTGAGCATCAACACTGGTTTTTCAGTGTGATTTTCCTGGACCTCTCTAGCTCCCAAATAGAAATGTGTTTGCCATGTGTAACATGAAATACTTGAAATCTTTGATTTGTATTCAAAATATATTTTTAATACAAAGACTAATTTCCAGTTTGGCATGAAGCATGATGAAAATGCCCTGCAAATGGCAGATGGCCTGCTATAGGCCATTTATTTTACTATTTTACCACCTCAGGCCTATGTAGGCTTCCATATGTTAGTTGGGTTAAGACATTCTGCAACCTTCATTCCAGTAACTGGGTTCTATCCTACGTCTTCTTCAGATGGAGGGAAAAAAATATAAGAAGATGAAACTAAAGCATAAAGTCCCAGCTTAACAGACTGTCACTAGTGAGATGGTACATCTTTGTAACTCAGGTTATGGTCTGGTCTCCACACTAACCCCCTCAGTAAGAACAAGTGCAATAGTTTCAGGAGCAAGGTGAGCTTTACTGAAACAAATCTTTGCTGCCTTGGATGTGATGTAAGATGCTGCAACAACTGCTCACAAATCTTAATGTAGTGGTTACCACACCAAGTTTGCAGCTGTTTCCTTAATTTCCTTTACCATTATATTTTAGTGTTATTTTGCATAACAGTAAAACACAACACCTGCTTCAAACCGCAGTCCTGTTCCAAGTACTGTAATTCTTTTGAGATAGGAACTGCGAAGAGTGCACAACACAGAGCAGCATAATTGCCCTGTACTGAAAAGTAAATACAAATGAAAACATCCTCCTGCCAGAGAAATGACTGTCATTAGCAAGAATGCTGGCCATCAGAGCTCCCAGGAAAAAACCGGAACAACTAGACTTTTTCTTTTACACAGCAAGAACTTTAGCGTCTGCATATATTAAGAAGTGATGTGAAAAGTAGATGTGTAATGTTACTTTTTTTCCACAATTAAAAACAACAATATAAAACAACACATTAAACCAACAACAAAAATATGCTTGGGCTTTCAGAAAAGCTAAATGACACTGTTTTTAGTAATCCAGCATAAGAAAGGTCAGAACATTAAATTTCATATTATAGTTCACTCATGGAAGAAAAATCTAATTTGTTCATGAGAGTGAATTATACATACAGATAATAAGCATTTTTTCAACGTTTATAACAATCCATGTTACAGAAAGAAATTACAACTAACTGGCATAAAACAAATGACAAGAGGATACTTGAATAGCTGGATTAAATACTTTTAAGTTGACTCTCAGCAAGATTATAAGTATATAAGCTGCAATTCCTTCCCATTGTTCTAATCTTCAATCTTGAAAATAAATCTCTATACTTAAATTAAGACACAGCTGAACAAAATATCCTTTTAAGCTGAAATTCACAACAAATGCCAGACTGGGGGTTAAAAAAGAAAGTAAAATTTGAAGCTGGCTTCTGTGTCAATTCTCTTAATTTCCTTTTAGTACTCCATAGAGTACTACAGCTCACCTATCAGAAGTATCTAATTATTACCTTCCTTACTGTGAATGTCTCTGAAGAAAATAAAAAAGAAGCTGAACCCTTCAAAACTTTAAAAAACAATATTTTAGGCCCAAGATTAAAACAAAATAAATTAAAAAGACTACTTTGAATCGCTCCTGTTCTTCTTTCTCTAACTGTGAGCACTGTTTGAAGATTACATGCAGGAGATGAGTACAAAAGAATAAAAGTTGCATTATTTTCCCATCTATCAAGTATAACAATGTGTAATATATTCCACGCTTTACAAGGCAGTTTTACGTAAGAATGACCGCATTAAAAACCTAAATAATGATTTTTTGGCGTGTTGTGTTTTCCCAAATATAGGCAGTTATCCTTTTCCAGCGTGTATTTGTACCGGCAGCGAGACAGGAGATGTGCCATTGTACGCATCTGCTCAGTGTTACAGGTAAAATCCGGCACTTTTTCAGAACAGGGCTGGCCCAAACTTAGGCGCAGCTAATTGTAAATCTGTACACTGCTGCCCTGTCATAAAAACTACCACGAAATAAGCACAGGTATTTGAAACGTAACATTACATTTCACGGAGAGCTACACACACGAGCCCTGCGTATGTACACGCACACAGACAGGCACGCGAAAAACCCATTTCCCCAAATAAAATATTTACGCCTTCCTCATCTGAATTTCAAACATTTGCCTCTGGCTGAGCTCGGGCCGTAAGAGAAAACGCTGAAAGGCAGGAGACGGGAAGGGTTAATCCCGTGTCAACACCTTCTGTTGATACATCCACTATCCCGGCGCTGTTACACCGACACCACACGTTCCGCCCGCCCGGG